ACTCCTGCTGTGTGGAATGCGATCTGGTCGAAGGACATGACAAAATGTCCAAAGGAGTTCGCGTCGGCCATAGAAACGTTGCAGAGCCACTTGCGTGGTCATCCGAGCTTGCAGTGGCCACCTCTTCGATTCCCTGAGGACGCAGTGCCGCCGCTGGTTCCTGCCACGCCCCTTCTGGAGCCGTCGCATCGCCCAATTCTGGGGCTCCGGCCATTCGAGTCACGGTACCGCGTTCTGCAACAACAGTTGCAACACGACCGGCAGCCCCGCCGTCTGCGCCGCTGGCTGGGACACGAGGTGCTCGCGATGTGGGAGTTGGTCGTTCCACGCCAGCCAACGAGCCCCCGCCTCTGAGGGATGGTGTGGGCTCTACGACATTTGACGAGGAGAGCACACGTGCATTTATTGAGAGTCGCAGGTGGGGGGGGAGTGCCGGCAGTTCAGCGCCCGCGCTCGCCCCTGTTTTCAGGAGTGCTAGGTAGTCAGATGCCGCACGGGGTGGTACTGCGGTGGCACCTGGCGCATCACCCCGCTGTTCGTCGGAGCACCCCTGGCTGCCACCGCCACCGTCGAGAGCGGCGCAGCGTCCAATGGTCCACCACGCTCACGGAACCGCCCACCCGGATCCGTCACACGCACCTGCAGATGCTCGACATTCTGCTTCCGTGCCTCGTTTCGGGGAACAGGTGGATCATGGGGTGCCTGCCGAGGAGGTCCCCGCTCCGGTGTCCGATTCATCGTCGACCCCTGTTCCGACAACCACGGGTGGTGGTCGGTCTGCCCCACAGCCTTCACCCGTGTTGACCGGAACGTTAGACCCTTTGCAGCGCATTCGTGACCTTGCAGTCGCCCAGAGCGCGACACCTGTGAGCCCAGGCGGGTTGTTGGATGCTGGGGTCCTCGGCGGGAGAGCTACGACGGGACGATGTCGGGGCACTTACAGGCAGCAAGCCGTCACGTCATATTATTCGGACCCTTTGGAGCGCGCATGGTATCTGCAAATCATGCGGTTCATCGTCGAGAGCGGGATGCCGTTCAACAGCACGAAGCTTGAAAGCTTCAAACGCATGTTCACGATGATAATCCCGCCGGGGGTTCCAGGGGCGCCCGCGCCTAGACTTCCCTCGTACCACATGCTGCGCACAACCCTTTTGGACGAGTTGGATGGTGAGGTCCAGAAGTGTGTTCGGCCGGTGCTTGACACGTCGAGAGAGACCAGTTGCACAATCATGACCGATGGTTGGACCAACATCCGTGGTCAGACGTTGTGCAACTACCTTGTTGGTACAGAGATCGGGGTGGTGTATGTATCCCCCGACGTCATGCGTGGCAAAAAGGACGCCAGTGCCCTCGCGAACGCATGGTTGAAAAGGGTGAAGTCCATGGACGTTCAATTGAGCGACATCACGGCGTTCGTGACGGACTCCGCCGGGGTGAACGTCGCGGCAATGGAGGTATTCCAAGAAGATGAGAGCGTGAAACACATCTTCTGGATTCCTTGCGTCGCCCACATTATGGATCTCATTCTCGAGGACATCGGCGGGATTGATTGGGTGGCTTCCCGCATTTCTCAAGCGAGGCTGGTTACAAGGTTCTTCAAGCGCCATGGACATGCGAGAGAGGTTCTTGAGGCACACTCGATGAAGACTCTTCTGCTACCGGCGGAGACGCGTTTTGGCACGAACGTCATCATGATGGAGAGGCTGGTGACACTGCGGGCCGAGTTGACAGATGTTGTGGCCGACGATCGCTGACGCGAGACTGTTTGGTCGACCAGCAAGATCCGCAAGGATGCAGCAGAGGTCACTGCATGTATCGGCTCCCCTCCATGGTGGGAGGATTTAAGAGCTCTGTGCAAGATGCTAGAACCCATCATGGGCATGCTGAAGTTGGTGGACAGCGACACACGCCAGATCAGCAAGATTCTGCAACGTTACGAGGAAATGATTGCATCTTGTTTATCCGCATGTCGTGACATTGATTGGGAGCAGCAGGACGCTATTGTGGAGGTGTTCCATAGGCGGCGCACCATGTTCAAGACCCCCGCCCACACGGCAGCCATGCTGCTAGATCCAGAGTTCC